TTCCTGTCTTAGGAATATGAACGCTATTACGACATAATTCCGGCCCACTCGAAATTGGAATACTAAATATGGCTCCTCCCGAAACTCTCCGGCAACGCCAGTTCTCACTGAAAATTATTATATCTAAAACTGCCTTTTCATTCTATCCACACTGCTTGTTGTTGTATATAAGTGTTATAATTTATCTGCCTTTTCGTTCTATCCACACTGCTTGTTGTTGTATATAAGTGTTATAATTTCTCTACGTGAATAGCATAAATGTATATATAATTTTGTGTATGACTTAACAGTGTAAGAGTATCTCTGAGAACAAAGCGTGTTTGTCATTTCTTTTCTTTCAGCTCTTCCGTTCCGTCCATGAAATAAGGTGTCATTATATAATGGATATAGAAATGACCGTACTAGGGGAAATGTTAATGGGATAATAAACCTTTCTTCATTAACACACCCATTATCTAGTGACCCCGGCGTTATACGATATCATTAGCACTTCCATTAACTGGTGAGCACAACGCGATATGAACACATCAGCTAATATGAAATGTTCATTTCTTTCATAAAACCCCATTATCTGGCAATATTCCCGACGTGACCCAATTCTATTAGTACTTCCGTTATTAGTAAATTAAAATTTCTTGGATAAATTGTTTTTATATTGACTATGAAAAAAGTTACACTGAAAGATTATGTAACATCAATAATAATCATAATAATAATAATTTTAATTCTTCTATGTGACGTGTCCCTTCAGACGTGGGTGACCATGGCTCTTCACTATTTACTGTCCTCTGTAACCTTTAGTACATTTTGTTTTTTATGTTATCTCTCCTAATCCCTGTGTTGTCGAGCGATTACATAAGCTCGTTAGGCAGGTTATGTGCCATTTTCCTCTCTCTCTCTCGTCTACCAATTGTCTCATTCTGAAGTTAATTGTCCATTTTTTCTAAAACGCCATCGTTATTTCCGCCTAAAACCTGAATATTGGGGAAATCCCATTAGAGAGAGAAAGAGAGAAAAAAAAATCTCGCGCTTCAATACGCATTCCGGCAGACGAAACTAAATATACTGTTCAAAAATAAAGGGATCATCCCTTTAAATCTGGGCATCCACCAGGAATAACTTTTAAAGTAATAAAAAAAAATATGTGGGAATGATAAATAAAGAATAAAGTTCATTACTGTAGGAATTGCTTTATTTGCGTTTCGGATTCAAAACCGAGAAGTTATGACATTCTGAGAATCTAAAAACGAGAGAATTGCACTTAATAACACAGTATTTAAATTGCTTGATCGACATGACCTTCTCTGACAATGGACAAGTGATATTGTTTTATGGGGATATACTAATTAGGCAGCATATTGAAATATGTCGATTGAAAGGTTTGGTTTGTTTTACGGCATATCAACCACAATCGTTTATTTAATGCCAACAAGATTTTTAGGATAGGTTCGTAAGAATAGAATATATATTCTTTGTAAGAAATCAGTTTGTAGATCAGGGTTTGGATTTATTTTGTTTTACGGTATATCAACCTCAATGAGTTATTTAATGTCAAGGTATTTAGGATAAATTCGTATGAATAGAATATGCTTCCTTTGTAAGAAATACATTTGTGGTTTGGGTTTATTTTGTTTTACGGCTTATCAACCTCAATGGGTTATTTAATGCCGACAAGATTTTTATTGTTGGTAATAATTTCTTTCAAAAATGTATTGCTGGTAATATATTTTTTCCAACAATGTATTGCTGGTAATATTTGTTTTTCCAAAAATGTATTAGTGGTATTTTTTTTCAAAAATGTATTACTGGTATTTTTTGCCAAAAATGTATAGCTGGCAATTTTTTTTCAAAAGTATTGCTGGTATTAATGCCAATTTTTATACTTACGTGGTATTTTGATCACTTTGGTGGTGTGGGGGTACTATTTGCCTATAGCTAGGATCCTAACAGGTTCTACCACACCGGATCAGGGTGGACCTAGGAACATCAGAAAACGCTCTTCAAAACGTCCTCATCAGAGGCCTTGCTGTTGGGTGTAGTTTATTATCTTACCCAGGATGGTCGATTGAAAGAACATGAAATTCTAAGAAAAGACAAGGTAAAGCTCGAGAGAGATGCGATTGCGTAGGTAATATGTATATTTGTTTACCATTGGTAAGTAAGAAATCATAGGAAACAAACCCTATTCCTAACACAATTACATATCTAGAAACATTAAAATACGCTTTTAGTAACACTTATTTCAATTTTCAAACATTTTCTTGAATTTCATTGGTTGTTAAATAAAAAATAAGCTTCGAGAAATTTCCATAATAAAACAGTCAAAATTTCTGCAAAAATAGGCTCAACTGACATAAAAATATATGTATATATTTCTCAAATTCATTCCTAAAAAAAAATGTTTAAGAAACCCTATTTGCTAAAAAAAAAAAAAAAAAAAAAAAACATACAACATTCGCCCACGTATTTTTCAGAAAATTCGCAACAGCGATCAAAAGCTCGTTGAGCCGATTTTTGTTAAAAAAACTATAAATAGAAACAGCAAACGAATTTTCGTCGCATTTTGAGACTCACACACGCAAAGATACACACAAATTATGTGTCAAAATTGCCGCCAAAACAAACAAACTTTGTTTATGAGAGATTAGGAAAATTCATACAACAAACTTTTCACTTCTTTCATAAAAAAAATCTTTTGTCTCAAATTCAACCTTTTCAATCAAAAGGCAGACAACTTTTTAGACATTGAACATTTCTGAAACAGCAAAGAACTTTTTTCTATACCTTTGCACACATCATTATAAACAAAAGAAATTGTAAATTGAATGTATATAAAATTTAATCTGTTGTTTCAAACATGTATTTTTGTCGTGATTGAATAATATCGTTACCATTTGGCCATTTCTTATAATTTATGTTTTGTGGATATTGCATATTTTATTTGCAGTACAATCTTCTTAAATATTCACGCATCCTTCTTAGATCCACTACACTAATACCCCTTTCATACGGCCTCAAAATTCCCCTGTAAGTGGACAAAGTTTTCTTGGGGGCTTGTAACGCTCAAATCACCAGTTGTATGTGCTCAGTGAGCTTGCCAGAGCCTCTATTCATAGCCTACATTTTAAGGGCTGGATCCTCGAATTTATTGTTGCTGGTTGTGAAGGAATCTTCGTATTTGTTCAAAGCTTCAGGGCTTCAAAAATGTTGGTCCGTCACTGATCCGTTTTACATGATTTAAAAAGGAATAAATGTCATAAAACCTATTTGAAAAATGCTGAGGAATTAAAACACTATTTTTGCGCATTTAATCTGTTGTTTCAAACATGTATTTTTGTCTTGATTGAATATCACTACCATTTGGCCATTTCTTATAATTTATGTTTGCGGATATCGCCTATGTTATTTGCAGCACAATCTTAAATATTCACGCATCCTTCTTTGATGCACTACACGCTTAAACTTTATTTTCTACCCAATAGCAAACAATATTACAAATATACCATGAAGATATAACGGTACAACACACTATCTAAATAAAAAGATTCTATTGGTTAAAAACTATCAATACCATGGAAACTATTTGAACAGTCAGAGAAAGCTAAAATTGTATTTTTTTTATGCCTACTTTCGGAAGGACTCTCTGATAAAACAAACAAAAAAACACAGATTTCGACTTTTAAGAGCTGATATGCGGGTGCCTCCAAGCCGATGAAGAGACGTGGCTACATAGCTTTCACCTCCCTCCCAGCGCGTACTGAAAGAAACATGTGTCGGCAACTTCAAATGACTCAGCTACAACAACAGCAACAACAACAAAAAAAAAACAAAAAACGGTCAGTTGTCTTCGCTAACGATACAAGTCTTTTTCTCTACCAGAGCTTTTATTTTTAGTAGACCAATTATTTAAAAGTGTTTTTTTTCAACTTTAAACTCAACTAAAGCCTTATTTCAATCATGTTCTCGATGTTTTTTTTTTTTTTTTTCATTTCAATCTATTAATGTTTTGAATTCAAATGTTCGAATTTTTAATATAAGAAAGAAAAAAAAACCCGGGCGACTAAATTTGCTTCAGTTGGCCTATAATGTGTTGTCAAATGTTTATCAATATAATATTTGTAGGGAGAGGTTTACATTTAATTTTAAATGTCTTTAATTTAAGCATTTCTTAACAGGGACATTGCTATAGAGCGATTTGCAGTCTCAACCTACCATGAGTTAATTTATCGTATTTGTACCGCATAATTTTTCGATCACATTACCTGAAATTTATAACATTTGATGGGTTCATTTTGTCAAGAAGACTGGTTAAAATGTTTGTTATAGCTTTTGTCGGATTATGGTGAGAGCTGTCCTATGATAGGCCAAGTGCCAATGACAGTTTTGTGTATTTTAGGTGGACCATATAAGATTCTTAGATTATTTCAAGCTAAACCTGGCACCGGGCTCCGGCCCTGAGCTGGTAGTATCACGGCTATAACTAGCTTAGACGAGCTTTGACCAGCTTGGACAAGCTATGATCAGCTAAGACCAGCTTAGACCAGTGGCCTGAGTGAAAACACTCGTGTTACCCACGTTAAAAAGTGACCTTGTGTCACATTCTGACTCAGTGGGGCGTCAAGTAAATATCTACATCAAGCTAAACCATAAAGAAAATGGCCTAAAACAGTCTATCGGAAATCTATGATAAAAAGCTTGTTTATAGGAGCAAATGATTGAGGCATTTTTTTTTACGGCTGATCTATCTTTTTCAGGTTAGTTAAAGTCAATAAATATTTTAGATTGTAATATATTTTTTAAGATAATCAATTTTTATGATAATAAATTATATAAGTCTTACTAATTAACCATAGCTGGGGGAGAAGATGCGCATTCATACCTTTCCGAAGGGTATTCACGCGTAATTAAATATAACGAAAACAACGAGATTTGATACTCGATAATCTGATTAATAATTCTGAGCCATTATCCATTACACCACCCGCACATCCAAGCTTATACATAGTATCCTCAATCGGTCACCCATCTAGGTACTGACCAGGCGCGATGTCGCTTAACTTCGGTGATCGTATGGAAACCAGTGTTTGAATGGGAAGTGTACGTAAGCCTCACTGGGGCAAAGAATGGCTTATAAAGTTTATCACCTGCAACGGGGAACTCAGGATTGTATCTGTTGTGGCCTTGTTAGGGCCAGAAATAAAGACACAAAGAGAGAAAATAAGTTAAATATATTAACAGAAACAGTAAGAAAAACATATAGAAACGACAGTGTTATAGCAAGAATGTTCGGAGCGACTGTCAGAGCTGACTGCTGGAAACCTCCCGCTCTAAAAGGAAGTACCTGCTCCTATTTATAGCTGGTAGGGTCCATGCATGCGTGGGTAAATTACCATGATAGATAGATAGATAGATATACTGAGGCAGATAGATATAGATAAAATGCGATAGTTAGGTAGGGAGATAGATAGATAATAACAGACAGTACATAATACTTCATCTCAAAAATATAGACAGATACTGAAAAATGCGGTAATTTGGCAGTTTTTTTTAAATAGAAAATGTACTTTTTCAGCTAGAGTGAGAAAATAACGGTTTTAGATTTTATGAAGTGGAAGAGATCGAGAAATTCTTTGGGCACCATGCATCCTGATGATTTGAAAGAAATATTTATAGATATATGATTTGCTTTTTTACGGTTTATCAACCATTTGATAATTATTTAAGGCCGAAAAATATTTTAGGTTTTAAGAATAATTCTTTCTTTACATTCAAGCGATTTGGGAGAAAGAAAGAAAAACGAAGAAGAAAAAAAAAAATTATACGAAAACGGGTCATAGGCGAACACACACACACACGGCTTAAGACACGGAAATGGGGAGGAAAAAAGGTTATAATTGATAGGTAGCAGATGTCGAAAATATCTAGGTCACCTACGAACAAGCATTTGACCGATTTCCGCGTGTCCACGAAAAAAATGGAATTTTGTTATCAATGGATGTCACCAAAAGAAAAAAATCCATTGTTGAACATTGACGAAACACAGACAGTCTTCCCTGGGTGTAAGAATTAAAAAAATCCCCACACAAGAAGTTTTCACTGGCAAAACTTTTTTTTTTTTAGCAGAATAAACGTTTGCCCTGCGATAATAAAGATTTTTTGTTATCAAACCATCGGCCGAAAGGAAAATGAAATATTTTTATTTTGCTTTAGAAACGCCAGCTAGGCTAGGAAAATTCCTTTCTTAGATCATGTCCAATTAGCGATAAAATGCTTGACAAATACCACGTGTTAGAGCCGAGAGTGTCATCTCGGCCGCTCATGATAAGCGCGATTTAATTAATTTTTTTTTTTTGTTAAGCAAGGTATTTCTTTCCCAAAACAAAGCCACGGATTGTTCACGCCCGACTAAGACGTCATTGGCTAAGCGGATCACATGACGCACGAAGGAGGATGAAAGATACCCGACTAAGACGTCATTGACCAAGTAGATCACATGACGCACGAAGGAGGAGGAAAAATACCTCCAAAACCTCATTGGCCGAGAGCGGTCACGTGACGCACGAAGAAAATCAGTCGACGCCTCTATCAAAATGTAAGTGTGAGGAGCCGATACGAAGAAGTGGGAAAGTTAGTGCACGCCCCTCAGAAGCACAGTAAGAGAGTGGGAGTGAGAGGAGAGTTACCGAAAATGGAAAAGACTGAAAAATCCCTAACCAGAAATAAGAAGGGTGGATACGTATTTAGAATTATCGAAGAACCCCTAGTGCCGACAGACCCACCCTAGTTTTGACGGCGTCAATGAAAGCGAGACGCCAACCGACAGGAATCAGTTGAGCCGCGGACGGCGGGCCGAGTTCGTTCGCCCCCTAGCGGGCAGAAGAGGCCAGTTCGTTGGCTTGAGTGCAGAGTTAGTTCAGACTCTGGAGAGAAGAAGTTCGTTCGACCCAAGTTGGCGAGAAGAAGTTAGTTCGCGCACCGGCGGCGGAGATGAGTGGCCAGTAATTCAGACTCTGGAGAGAAGAAGTTTGAGTTCAACCGCGGACGCTGGCGAGAAGTTTGAACCTTGGACGACAAGCAGAGATTAACGCCCAGTGTTGAAACCGCGTCAAGATAGCTGACCAAGATTCACGCACACTTTTGGACACTTCTTCAACCAAGAACAAGTAGTTTGAAGAGCGACTTAGAATCAGACCACAGAAATAAGTTTTTCGACTTTCGTCCAGAGACACACCGAAACTCAAATTTCTTAGAGAACAGACAATTTGAAGCCTTAAAGTTTGCCTAGCGAAAGCGTCGTGCCACAATCCACAGAACGTGTCGGGAAGTAGACATAGTCCTATGTACCGAACAAATAGACATAAAAAGTTTGTTACCTTTTTCTTTGATACTTTGGACTTTGTGAGTTTTCATTTTATTTTATTTTATACAAAATTGTGTGTTATCACCCCCGTTGAACTCAGCTTGCATTACGGCCCCAACCCCTGTTTGATCTCGTCTGTCTAAGATCAATTCCCAACGTGGGTAGGCAGACTGGAGATCAGTGCAGTTACCCTGGTAACCAGGCGTTGGAAGCAGGTTTGGAACGGCGAGGCTGGTATCAATCTAACCAGATTCCTACCCGAATCACCAAAGGGTTAGAACGTCACGTTTGGAGCAGCGACACCCGGACGGAGCGGCGAGGAGCAGCGACGCCGAGAAGACGTCACAACTGGCGCCGTGGTAGATCAGGATAGAACGACACAGTCGGCGCTGCGACCGGGGACGACGTCACAACTGGTGCCGTGACCAAAGGACATCAGAGCCTGGGGCAGCCACGTGAGGTCACACTATGTGCTTGTAACTGTGACTTCTACAAGCGGTTACCCACACACCACAGTCTCTCTCTCTCTCTCTCTCTCTCTCTCCCTCTCTCTCTCTCCCTCTCTCTCTCCCTCTCTCTCTCTCTTACTCTCTCTCTCTGACTCTGGGTATTTAACGGCAGCTCTCCAAGTCCACACTGGTGGAGTCCACTTGTATAAGAAAAAGGGTGGACCCCATAACAATGTCAATGTTCAGGACAGAGTAAGAATATTATAGAAAAGGCTCACACACTAATATATCATGGTTATAATTTATTACATTAGAATCGTAATCACGACCTACAAATTCAAAAGGAAATTGAAATATAACTCTGGGTATAAAAAACAAAATTTTAGTGGGATTATATATATATATATATATATATATATATATATATATATATATATATATATATGTGTGTATGTGTGTGTGTGTGTGTGTCTTTGTGTGTACACACGCGCAAAATGTACATATATATATAATAATGGACTATCCTGTCGGTTTCGAAGTATGAGGTTCTTACAACTTGTTGATTCAGTTAGGAAAGTTTGAGCGATAATCTTAAGTGACCCGCTAATGATTTACCAATTGTGAGATGTGAGATATATTCTGAATATATATATATATATATATATATATATATATATATATATATATATATATATATTATAGTTTATAATAAGAATAATTAATATAAAATATATATTATAATTTATATATATATATATATATATGTATATATATACACGTATATATAAGCAAGTGTAAATGGATAAAATCCGACAGAATGTAGAAATTTTGAAAAACAAACAAAAATCCATAAATGTAAATAAAATGAAAAGAATTGTCGACGTCAGACGTTTCGGTTTTAATAAACCATTTTCAAGACAAATTCATTAAAATACAAATTCAGTTCAATGAAAATATGATAGAAAACGATGGACATAAAAATAAAAGTCTTTTTTTGTTTGTTTTTCAAAATTTCTACATTCTGTCGGATTTTATCCATTTACACTTGCTTATATACTGTCTACTGAAAACACAAACCTAAATTCGTTTTTTTACAACATGGAAGATTGCAGGCTTATCCGGAAATACAGGAATTTTAGAATAATCAATCACTTTTGGGAATACGTTATGAAAGCGTCGCCCATGTGACGACGGCGTGACCATGTTAAACGGAAAGCTGATCTTTTAAAAAATTTTCAGTTATCTGTTTTACTCTTGGATAAGACTTGTGTTTTTATGTCCATCGTTTTCGTCATATTGAACTGAATTTGTATTTTAATGAATTTGTCTTGAAAATGGTTTATTAAAACCGAAACGTCTGACGTCGACAATTCTTTCATTTTAACTACATTTATGGATTTTGTTTGTTTTTTCAAAATTTCTATTTTAATATATATATATATATATATATATATAGAGAAGAGAGAGAGATGCCATTATGATAGATATATCGATAGATAATCGTGAAAATAAGAAGGAATAACATCATAACGAATATTTTTTATTATCTGTTTTTATGCTCTAGAAACTAGAAACACTAATACTGAGGAAAATTGTGAATTTGTAGTCAACAGCAAATAAAATATGGATCGAAAACGGAAACAATGATATGATAAAGAATAAAGTCTATGCAGTCTTTATTGTATTATTTTTAAATAGATGTGCGCAATGAGTGTCCAGAAAAAACTAGTTAGAAAATATAAGGAGAAACAGTGGTTTTCTTACCTTGAACCTCTGATGAGCCAATACATAGAAAAGATCATGACATTTTGATTGAATCACTTTGTTTTTACTTATTTACATATAGACCTTACAACATACATACATACACACACACACACATATATATATATATATATATATATATATATATATATATATATATATATATATATATGATGTGTGGGTACGTATGTTGCGCGTGTGTGCTTGGGTGTTGAGTTTGCGCGTTTGAAACACATCTTCTTGACTGTGCCTAACGACGTGACGAATTACGATTTGAAACACACGCTGTCTCCCCTTTTCTGTAGCTCATAGTTGTCGGGAATTATTATTCTCAACAAATTTCTCCTGAAGCTCCCAAGAAATATTTTTTCCTGATCCCGATTTTTGCCCTTTCCTCTCCTGTTCTGCCAAGCATTTACACACACCCGTTAGGTAGGTTTTTGCTGCTTTCCACACTTATATATATATATATATATATATATATCCTGCCAATATCACATTTTCTGCACCTTCTTT